GGCAGTGCTTCGTAATTCTTTTTTTCTCATAGCGGACTGGTACAAATAGACTCTTTATAGTACTGATTGGTAGCTATAGACCATGTGATCTAGTTTGCCTGGGTTAGTAGATAGGGAGCTACAGTTTTTAATTCAAGTTAGAAGTACTTGAACTAATAACACGATTCCAGAATTCTGAGGATTGCTCTACTGGCTGGCAAATATTAATTCTTTTCAAGACAAAAAGTGAGGAGTTCTCTCTCCAACAGGGGCACAGAAAAAAAAGTTTATTAGAGTGGGGAAGCATTAGAACGCAGACAAGGTTTTTATTGTTGCCTTTTTTTTCTTGACCTGGTGAATGCTGCAAACACCCCCACTTCCCATTTCTTATACAAGTGTGCATGGAAATAAATAAATAAATAAATGAGAAAACTCCCCCAATTACAGACAGAAATAATCTGCATCTTTACATTTTCTCCAGATACAAGACTAAAGCAGCAAAAAGTTGGTTGTTGGATTTTAAGTAAAAACTCAGCTTAAAATGACACTAAACTCACAAGTTAAATCTTAAAAATGCATTAAAGTACTTTAACTATTAACAAAAATATATCTTATTCGTGTGTCACTCGGCTGTAGATCCTCAAATCATCTCTGAATTGGTGCCGACACTGTCCTTCCTTCTGGAGGGGGGCTACTTTTGTTCTCCATGTGTGTGTGTTGTAAAGTAGACAACGCTCCAAGCTCGCTTCTGTGATGGACTACAATCTCATGTTTAGTTTACCAATTTGTATTGAACTTATAGTCTATCACGGGAGCGAGCTTGGAGCCGTGGCTACTTTACAATACGCACAGGGATCATGGGGAACAAAAGTAGTCACCCACCAGAAGGAAGGACAGTGTCAGCGCCAATTCAGAGATGATTTGAGGATCTCCAGCTGAGTGATACACAAATAAGAGCTTTTACATCTTTCCATATTTCAAGGTAATATTTTTGTGGTGATGTATTTGTTACATATGCCATGGTAGGGCGGATTGTGTGGCTGAAACATTAGAGTTGAAAAACTAACTGAGGCACACCACTTTAGCTTATACGTATCCCTGTAATTATACTTTACACTAAGCTCAGGAGGTAAGTCATAAAAATGCATTCAAGTACCATAACTATTAATAAAAATGTATCTTATTCTAAAAAATGCTATAATATATAACATAAAAATAAGGACATAAAAAGGATTTTTTTTACCATCTCTGCTGGAGCCGCAGCAAAAGCAGCAACGTGCAACCTGTAAAGAGAAGCAGATATGAAACATATGAAGCAACTAATCACATTATCCTTTCTAGTCTTCCATTTTACATTTTGACAATGAGAGGGAAAATACTGGTCGCTTGCTGCAGCTAAAACAAGTATTTTCGTGGAGTTCCATGAATATAAAAATACTTGAGTAAATTATGGCTAAAACACTGCACTGAGTATTTATGAGTTAAGAAAAAGAAAAGGAGGCAACACTTACCAAAATTAAGCATAATCATTTTTTATTTCACTTCTAGTCTTACTTTCTAACACTAAAAAAAATCAGCGTACAGCTTGGAGCATAATGTCTAATGTGTTATTTCTTAGATGGATTCGTCACGTCATAAACATCATAAATGTTAATTAATGAATCAAAATGTGATCAATCCTGAAACACAAAGATGCATGTAGGAATATTTTATATTTCTGTCCTACTCAGGTAAGCAGGGTAACCTGTCATTAGGACTGTATGACAGATGTAATTTGGTCTTGACATGGAGCACTGTGCCAGTTACCACGAAGAGCCACAGCCTTTCATAAGCAAACAGGTATGACGGCCTGATTTAGAACACATGCAATCCACCCATTCATGGAATGTCTACGTGTGCAGTGTTCATACAAACTGATCTGGATTAGGCCAGCCTGCAGATCCATTCCTGTAGACCAATACAAATATATGTTCATATATGCCCAGCCTGCTCATTTTTAGTTTAGGCAGTGAAAGCTTCAGGCTACATAAACATTATCACAGTCCAAAAGTTATTGTAAAGTATAATTTTCTCTAAAAAAACATACTACGAATATAGAAAAAGCAGGGCTGGATTTCTGGAGCGCCAACATTGGCAGTGGCGTAGGGTGGCACGGAGCCACCCAGACTGCATAATACAAACTATCAGTAACACATTAACAAAATTCTGTGTGAACAAGTACATTTTCAGACTGGTGCCCTACCTGACAGCGCAGTCCGCCTGGCTCCTCAGTGTGTCTCTGCACAGTTTTTAAAATGCAGACACGGTGTACTGTAGACTTTGTGTCGACCCAGTCTGAGTCCATAAATTCAGGAACAAACTATTAGGGAATAGGGAGACGGTTTGTCTCCTCCTCTGATCAGTGGCTCTAAGTGTACTATAGCAAAATGGATAAACTGTCTCTTTAAGCCTCTTCATTTCCTGCCATGGTGTGCTTTGTGTGGCTTTGACATCTGATGCTAAGGTTAAGGTAGCCTGGGATAGGAGTGGGACAGCATAAGCTGGCCATACATTGACCGTTTTTTCCTCATTCAGCCCCGCAGGCTGACCAAGAAAAAAAAAGGCTCAATTCTCCCATCCACACAGTGTGTTGTATTCTGACAGTGGTGGGTGTGTCACCGACAGAATACCTGAAATTGGTCGAGAATTTTCAGACAGGCTCATTCAACAAAAGGGGTCACACAGTGGTTGAGTTGGCACGAATCAGCTAAAACTCAGCCAGTGCATGGTGTGTACACCTACCATTCAGTAGTTCCATTTTAAAGTAATAGAATGCAGGTTTCCAATGCAGTCCATGGGCGAGTGCAGTACCAGTGACCACATGGACTAACTGTAATGCTGCAATTAAGACTAGTGAGTGAAAAAGACTACGGAGTAGTATAGAGTTGAAGGAAACCAACCCTCTGGAAAAAAAAGCAAAAAAAAGCCCCAAAAATAGCAATAGAACACACCCCTTACAGGCCAATGGTACTACCTTTGAAATCCGTTAGGGTACAAGTAGATAGACAGCATATATCCATCCAGGATACATTCAGCTGCATTTAAACACCACTTGAAAATGGCTCACAATAAAGTACAAATTGTTTTACAATTAGTTGCATAGTTTACTTTGGGGGGAATTTATCAAAACTGGAGCAGACAGAATCTTAAGCAGTTGCCCACAGTAAATAAATCACCTTCTCTCTTTAGTTTGCTCAGCTAAGTTTTGAAAATGAAGAGAGAAGCTGATTGGATGCCATGCACAGCTGCTCCAGATTTTGTCTGCCCCAGTTTAGATGAATTCCCCTCATTGTGTTTATCCATACCTCCGTCATGGCATTGAAACTACTGGAACAATGAGCTGGATATTTACTGTGGATGTGCTTTAGAGAGAGAATATATATATATATATATATTACACACACACAAATACACTCTGGGAGAATTTACCTCTTCCCCCGGTGGCACATATCGCCCCCTCAGAGCATCACAACTTGAACGTGTGGTTGAAGTGAGACTGCAAAAAAGGATGCAAAGACGCAATATGTAAATAACAGTGTGAAGAGAGTATGAGAGACACAACAATGTCACTATCATTTGAAAAGATACTCGTAACAAAGGCCATCACTGTATTACTTGTTAAGCTGGCCATACACATTAAGATTTTTCTTGTTCAGCCCCCTGGGAAAATATCTTTAGATTACCGCATCCACATTAAACAATGTAGAAGGAGGAATCTCCCCTGCAGACTACTGTAGTGGATAGTCATAATTAGAGGTAACTTCTTTAACAAAAAAAAACTAATTCCCCTCTCATGCACATGACATCTGCCTGTCTATAGCCATAAAGAGAATAACTATGGCGTGGATTTCAAACTACATCAAACATTACAGATTACTTCAATGCTATATTATGGCATAGGATCAGCAGGATTCTCTGGCAACACAACTACTCACCAGGAGTACAGAATGCAGCCGAGCATGATGACTGCACCCAGCACTGAGACTAGCCGCTCATCTTGGTTTATACCATTTCCAAAGTTGGGCACACAGATTGTGATGTTCTTTCCATCCTCATCCAGAACTTCAGGGGAAAAAAAAAAAAGAAGAAAAAAAACAATATGAATATATATTTATATATGTGTGTGTGTGTGTGCGGGTTACTGGAAACTCTCCCAACAGAACAACTTCACAGAAAAACAGTCCAATATTTGACTGCAGATTTGTACACAGTCCTAATGAACATCTTTCTACTAAGTTTTATTGCAAACAATGTCGTCAGAAGTGGGTTAGGACAACAGAACACCTCCCCCTGGGTTACGGTGATAAGCAAATGGGGAGGTGTTCTGTACTCCTAACACACTTCCTGTCTAAGTAACAACTCCTACAATAAGTAAGCGCGGTCACCCTAGGCCTGGAAGTGTGTTACTGACCTGACCATCAGGTGAAAATAAAGGGAAAAAAACTTGAAAGAAGAAAAACATAGCTACCACATCTAAGGATTGGTAAGTTGCAATGTATAACTTTTTTGTTCTTTGATTTACACGCACTATAAGACATGCTTTCAAAAAAAAGCAATCTGAAAAGGAGTCCAGCAACTTTTCCTAATTATTTAAAGGCAGCAAGGGTCACCTCTGACGTGCTTCACACTGACCAGAGCTTTTTCAGTGAGAAAGTGCTCCTCTACTGTAAGCATGTAAGCAGTGACTACATACACCCATTTCCACCTTGTAAGCGATTAGAATGCATTGTGGTAATGTAGCGGTGCAGTAATTATGTATATGTGTGTACATTTTCATGACTCACATTGCTGGCATTTTTACTTTTTTTTCCCATGAACTTTTTAGAAGGCCTGAGAGCTACAAATTGGAAATCTTCTCCATAGGAAACAGTCTGACACAGGGGTCAGATTGTAAAGCAGCTGACCCCCCTCCCTGTGAGTCATTGTAACAAGATCACTGCACACCAGCTCTGCTTTTCCAGGGCAGAATACACTGTCCAAGGGGGTTGCCACTATGAATATTAATTAATGGGGGAGAGAGCGCAAGAGAGAGAAGACTGCTTGTAGAGCAGAGAGACGGCCTTATAAAAAGGAGGACAAAAAAAAAAAAAAGTGTGTGTTCATATACAGCAGCTGTATAAGCCAGCTTAATGTACACTCAATGTACATTGCTGAGATATATATATACACATAGGTTTGTATATATA